TTAATTAAAATTAAAGTATAAATTCTTAATTATGATAGATATGATCTTTCCCATTTTCTTGGCCGATTGCTTCCTTCTTTTACCCATTTCTATCATTTGCTTGAAGCAAGTAGATAAAACCATTATGCCATTGGGTTAATTGGTACGTAGCTTATTTCCTTGGGCTTCTTTAGTGAATCCAAACCCATTTTCCTCATTAATCCAAACTTGAATGAAGAGTGGGAAAGCTTGTTGTAATCCTTGGGTCTGGCTCCTTGTTATGGGCCCACTTGACATGATGATATCTCTTTCAAGTGATCCAAAATAATCCATGCTACATACTTTTCTACCCACAAGACACCGCATATGGAATATGTTTTCTCTCTGATCCTCCTCCTTTTTTTGGATGTTGATGGCTCTCCTTATAACCAGGGACTCTCCTTGAGCCGCATACTCATTCTCCTCATCATCATCCTCTAGTGATGACATACTATTGCTTTCAGAGTCACTGTCGATCTCGCCATTGTCTCTTAACAACATCACTCTCTGATTCGGGCATTAGGAAGCAATGTGCCCCGATCCCAAACATCTAAAACATTTAATAGTGCTATATTTCTGAGATGAAATAGGTATTTTACCTTTATAGTTGGGTGTGGCTGCCTTCTCCTTCTTTGCCTCAGCTCCCTTCCTTTCCTCTTTCTTTGGTCATCTTGAGTTAAAAATCGGAATGATATGAAATGTTCCCTTACCTTTACTCTTTAGTTGTCTCTCAATCTTCATGACCATGTGAACTATGTCCTCCACCTCCACATAATGTTGTAATTCCACCATGTTGGCGATGTCCCTGTTGAGACCTCCGAAGAATCTTGTCATGGTTGCTTCGGGATCTTCTTCTATATTGGCTCTGATCATAGCCATCTTCATCTCCTTGTGGTAGTCCTCAATGAACATAGACCTCTACGTTAAACGCTGTAATATTTGATGCATCTCTCTATTGTAGTAAGAGGGTAAAAACCTTTTTCGAATGATTGCTTTCATCTCTCTCTTGGAGGATATTAGTCGCTCTCCATTATGCTATCTAGTGAGGAGTAGTTGATCCCACCACACCAACGCGTAGTCAGTAAACTCTACCGCTACTAGTTTGATTTTCTTTTCTTCGTGGTAGTTATGGCAATCAAAGACTAGTTCTACTTTCCTCTCCCACTTCAAGTATGCTTCCGCATCATTTCTATCCTTAAAAGGTGGTATGTGAGCAAGGAGAGGGAAACTAATTTCTTTAAAGGAAGAATTAACCAAGAGAGAAAACTTATTCCTAAATCTTGTGATATCTTAAAAGAAGAGAAAATCAAATCGTATTTCTTAAATAACTAAATTCCACGTTTAGGAAAGATATGAATTGCCTTTTTGCTCTTTTAATTGTCAGCTTTAATTAACCATATTTACTTCTCCCAAATTCCTCAACAATTAATCAAAATATTCTCATTTAAAAAGAGAATATTCTATTTACTCTATTTTACTCAAAGTCTTCTTAATTTTCATTATTTTCTCATTCAATACAAGATTTAATTATTTTATAATTTCTATTATTAATTTACGATATTTATTTTCTTCCAAAGCATATAACCTACTCTATAAAAAAGTCTTTAATTCACAATTGTAATCATTTAATTTGAGAATAAAAAAACTATAAAGTTTTAATTTTCAACTAGTGTTTCGTCAACCTTCTTTTGTTAAGTGAGAATTGATTTAATTTATCAAGATAAATCCTTACAACATTTTATCAATCTCTCTTGAATTGATTTCACTTATCTAGATTCTGTCTTGTGGCGTTTAATCAATTCAAGTCATTATCTCAATTACTTTGGTTGACATTCACGTGTTGAATGTTGATCAAATAGGGAGGGTTTGTTGAGGATTTTATGATTCTGAACACCAAAGTATATGCAGAGTTTTTGATCACGTGAGTTGATCCTGGATTCCGCATCAGCTTTTATAGGATTTAAGTCTTTGGTGCCCTAATGAGCATTCTGTGAGTTCTGGATTACAACGTTGCTCTTGCATTCCGCATCATATACTATGCAATACAAAAGAGGATGTATTATCCAGGAGAGAGCTTAATGTTGAAGGGGAGCTTGATGGGATTACAGCAACCATAATTTTTTCACGGACGTAAGAAGTAAGCCAGTCATACAGGGAAGGGTGTAGCAAGACTGTTGAGATTGAGCTATGCCATGCAATACAAAAGAGGAAAGGAAAACAGTGTAGCAAATGGATTATCGAGGAGAGAGCTTAATGTTGAAGGGGAGCCTGCTGGGATTACAGCAACTATAATTTCGTCATGGACACAAGAAGTAAGCCAGTCAATATGGGAAGGGATTTTAGAGGCCACCCAACTTCTCACAATACTTTCCGTATCACCCAAGGACAGGCCACATTACACTTTAGAACATGGTTTACTGAGATATAAATGGAGACTCTTATCGGCCAATGAACCAATTTGACATCATAGTTGATGCATTCCTGCCATAGCTCACCCTTTAAGAGGGTACTCAGGGATCCACAGTACTTACATCCGATTGAAGTAGGGATTTCTCTAGCCTAAAATGAAACAATAGGTCGCTGAGTGCCAAAGGCTTTGATGTATGCCAAAGATGCAAGTGGAAACATGTCCCTTATCTCAGGTTGCTTCAACCCTTAAACTATTCCAAAACAAGCTCAGATTCAATTACAATGGACTCCATCAAGCAACTACCAAAATCAAATGGGAAAGACACTATCCTATTTGTGGTTAATACACCAAATATGGATATTTCCTAGCCTTGGCACATCCCTTTTCAGCACGAAAGGTGGGTAGGCTTTTCTTAGATAAAATCTATAAGGTGCATGGCATGCCCAAGTCCATTGTAACAGATAGGGATAAAATTTTCACTAGCATGTTTTGGCAAGAACTAACGAGGCTTATGAGAGTTGATCTATGTTTAAGGACAGCCTAACACCCCAAACTGATAGCCAAACAGAAAGGGTGAATCAATGCATTGAAAATTATCTATGTTGTATGACATTCAAAAAGTCAAGTTCTTGGTCTAAGTGGTTGAGTTTTGTAGAATGATGGTATAGTACCACTACCATCCAAGCTTAAAGATACCCTCATTCTTAACACTTTATGGATATCCTCCTCCCCATATGATAGAGAAAAGAGATTGGAGCATGCCATTAGTGAACTCAGAAGAATGGATAGAGAAGAGCCAAGAAATGACTCGGATAATAAGGGACCAACTTTTGGAATCAAAGAATAGGATGAAGCAAATTGCATACTCAAAGAGGTCTTAGAGATCGTTCCAAGACGGTGACAAAGTCCTACTCAAGCTTAGTGCTATAGATAGCCATATGTGGCAATTCAAAGATGCCTAAAACTGGCTCCCAAGCTCCATGGGCCTTTTGAGATAGAGAAGAAAAATGGAGAAGTACCTTACAAATTAATTGTTCAATCACACTCCCCGATTCATGTTATTTTCACATCTCTATGCTCAAGAAGTATGAAGGTTACTTTCCTGGTTACTGGCAAGCTCCTAGTTGCAAACTCTAAAGGATGAATCAAGGGGAACTTGAACTAGTATTGCAAAAGAGGATCATCCATCGCCACAATAAGCAAGTGAAGCAAGTGCTTGTCAAATTGTTAAACTTAGACCAGAAAGCCAACTGGATAGTAGGAAGAATAACTGAAATTTTCAAATTTTGTAATATGTCATGCCTTATTTTCTATAGTTGGTGATAATATTTCTGTTATCAATAGTATGGTACCAGGAAATATAGGACTGGTGACAGTTGTCACCGTACTATGGCAAAGTAGCTGTTAGCGCTAGCTAATCATCGGCAGCAGTATCTAGGACTATATAACCTAAAAGATACATTGTCCGGATCTAGGAAGACAAGTATTTCGCATTTATGAGAAAAATAGAGAGAGAAAGAGAGAGAGAGAGAGAGAGAGAGAGAGAGAGAGAAGAAGAGAGAAACATATGGGTCTGAGAAAGAAAAATAGACTGCCGAGAGGAAGAGGAAGAGAACCGAGAGAGAGAAAGATATAAAACTTGAGGGAGATGCTGAAAATATACTCAAATAATTCATTCCATGTTTACATCTTCAAAGGTAGGCGACTATATGATACAAGCAAAGGGGGGGCTACTCACATTAAGTTACATGAGTTCCCATGGCCAAGACAAAAGCAAATAAAACTCATGTTAATTCATCCAAAAAGGAGTTCTACAAGCATAAGATGTCTGCCATCAAATATCTTAAAAGGATTACATACAATTGATTATCAGAAGAAGTCTTTAATCCCTTGGACTCTCAAGTATTTCAATTCCTACAATTATGGGAAGTTAATCCCTCACTTTGGAAGAGTCCTATCTGAGGTTGGAGCTTATTTCACATCTGAAATTAAATGATTTTATCCCCTAAAATCTGGTCAGGATTCCTCATTATCCAAGCTGCCCACTTGGATACAATCTTTGCCACACATTCTCTTCATCAAGATGTGGAGTTCAATTTCAAGTCATATTTGGAATTCAAGAGTTCAAATCCAAGTAGGACTCATGGAAATCAAGCTTAAAGAGTCCTATTTCATCATATTAAAAAGGTGTTGGAATCTTATTAGACAAGTGGAAGCTCAAAGGAGATGGAATTCCTACTCATGGCCAAATATCTCCCTTGATTTTCTCAGGAAGAAGAGTTTTTTTTTTTTTAAATAAAAATTTGTTTTATATTCTCATGAAGAAGAGTTATTTTCCCACTTTAATTAGGATACATCCTAATCCATTTTCAACACATATTCCTCATCAAAAATTCATTCAATATTGGGGCACAAAACCAAGCCAAAATCCAAGACACAATCCTTGAAAGAATCCTACACTATTCAAGAGAGAAGAGTTCTAGACTTCAACTTTAATTATGAGTTTTTAATTTAATTTTTTAATTAGAATCCTCGATAATAATGTATTTAAAATTCTCTTAAAATTTCGTTTTTGATTACTACTCGGATTAGTAAACTTTATGCCTATATATCTTATTTCTTTAGTTGTCAACACATCATTTTCAAATTAATAAACTTCAAGATTATTTTGCTTTAACTTTGATTATCGTGAGTGCTCTTTAGGGAAGTTCTTCAACCGTCTCGTTGAGTCAAGAATTGAATCTACTTATTAAGGTAATTTCATGGCATCTTTTCAATTCTATTTTTTTTATTGCCCAATTACCTTAGTTTGCAGCCACAAGTTGTTTGTGGGTTAAATAATACTTAATTGTCTGTGTAGGTTTTGAATTGCATTCGTTGATCCCGGGTTCCGCATCACTATACACAAAGAGGAGAGCCGAAAATGCTTTGAATTTACCCCATTTTGCCCTAAACTTGGGAGTCAGTTTCAGAGGAATCCTGAGCGGTTCCAATGCATCCATCGATTACTAGAAAACCCTAATATTTATTTTTCTTAAATACCCTTGTAGATCGCCATTCACGCGTCTCAAGTTACAGATATGATGGTCAGGATCTTCTGTTCAAGCAATACATACGCGTGTTGTATTCTCCGGCTCAGAAGATGCCACATGTCCCACGTTTGCCCCGATCAGACTGCATGTTTAATCTTTTGGAGTACTCCTTCATGTGGTTTGATTCCCTCCGAACACTTTCACCATCTTCCTCCTGCACTCTTCGTGCTCCTCTGTTCTCCTGCTCATTTTCTTGCGTGTGAAACCAGTTCTCAACACTTTTTCAAAGTTCTTCCTTTCTCTTCTTCGACCCCTCCGCCTCCATGTTTCTTTTTTTCTTCTCTTTTCCTACTTCTAGTCCTGTGTTCTTCCCATCTCATTCCTAACAAGCATGGTCTTAAGGACCATGTAAGGAGTCATTACCTAACACTACATAGCAACTTTCTCATCCTAAAATTCAAATGACCATAATGTGATAAGATCCAGGAATATTACTATGCGCCTCGTATGACATAAGTAAACACAATAGATAATTTGATATTTGAACTTAGGCTTTCTTGACACAGTGCATCCATAACTACCCCTAAAACACAAAATATTTTTAACACCGGGTAGGACGAGTGTTAGCCTATTCAACCACATAATTTAAACAACTTATGCTGCTCTTAGAAAAGAAAAGAGTCAGGAATCATACCTTTGGACAACGGGCAATACTTAGTTGTTTTATAGTGTATGAGAAATTATTTGACCAAGGTAGATTTTCAAGATGAAATTTACTTTGAGAAATTATTTAAACAACCACATAATTTAAACAACTTATGCTGCTCTTAGAAAAGAAAAGATTCAGGAGTCATACCTTTGGACAACGGGCAATACTTAGTTGTTTTACAGTGTATGAGAAATTATTTGACCAAGGTAGATTTTCAAGATGAAATTTACTTTGACAATCACAGGAATCTTCTCCAGCACATCTCCTAAGTTTTCCAATCTGTATCTAAGAAAAATCAGGATACAATAAGCACAGAATATCTACTAAATAATTGTTTCAAGGATAAAATCAGAAACCACAATTAAAGCATGTATGAGGAGGAGAAGTTCAACTAAGTCATGGGCAAGAAGATGATAAAAAGACATACTACAAGGAAAAGGAGAAGCAAATATTGGTACCTACCACCTTCTATTGATCAGATAGTATGTGATAATTAAAAATATTGGAAGTTAGATTCTGGACAAAAAAAATTACCTCATCTGCCCCTGTCATGGATAAATACTTCATTGCAGCAATGTGCCAGCAGCGGCTGCAATGGTAATTCTCGACTTGCTCAGCAGTAAAAAACTGCTTCAGGCAATCCTCCAAAGTAATTCCAAACCTCTAGTAGTGCAGAGAAAAATACAGAAGTAATTTAAAAGTTAAAGACAGCAGCATGTTACTGTTATAAGGGAGAAACCAGGAAACTCGTATAAAATCATTCGACAATGAACCTTCATTGACATACAAGGGTGTAACCACTATCATGCAGTAGAGGGATAGGCAAATTGTGGAAAAATTGAAAGTCCAACGAAACCTGAAAAATTTGGAAAAACCAAAAAATGAATATGGTGTTAATAAGTATCATAAAACCAAAACAAGAACTAAATCAAGATAGGTAGATTTTCAAAGATGCAAATGAGGTAGCAGTAAGGATCTATTTTTTCTGCTAGTATTTGTGCTCCGAGCATAAATGCTTTCAATATAAAATTTGATATTATATTCAATGAATTATGTTATAAAATTAGTAATAAATGTTGAAATAAATAAAAGATTATAATACAATTAAAAAGTAATCATTTCAATTACTTAAACAATAACGTAATTAAATAATTGTTCTCGTAATTTAAACTATTTACTTTAATTTAGTTATTAGATTTATTTTTTCAATATAAATATTAATTTCAAATCATCATTATTTAATTTTTAAACAAAAATTATTTAAATAATTTTTTGATTTATTATAAACTATTACTATATTTTAATTTCAAAAATATTAAATCAATAAATTAATAAAACACAAAATTAATAATATTCATCAATATTATTTTTCATCTCCTACAACAGAAACCCTATCTTGAAAGCATCTATTTCTAACTTTTAATTTATTTTTATCAAAAGCCAAAAATAGATTATGTTTTTATTTAGAGAAAATTTTGTTTTTTTTTTCTTTTTAACGTTTGACCAAGCTTCTGGTTTGTTGCAGGAAATGCATAAGCAGAAGGTTGATCAAACAGATACCAACAAGATTAATATGTTAACAATATGGTTAGGAAGAGATTAATGAGTGCTGCATGAACCTGAGATGAACAACTTTCACAAGTTAACACACTACCAAGAATGCCATTAAATGGTCCAAGAAAGTGTTGCTCCCATCTTTCCTGCTCGTTTTGGTCCTCACTTATCACAGAAGTACGAATCCTAGAATTAGGGGAAGCAAAAATATCGGCAAGAGTACTTTGATTTGGGAGATAACAATCTGAAAATTCTTCTCTTAAAGAGGATAAAAGATGTAGAAATGCTTCTGCAGCATCCTGCAATTCACAAGAGTATTAATTACTCATGGAACCATAATGAGCTCAGGTTTTTTTTACCCATGGGGAAGACAAAAATTCACCTGCTGGCTTGTCAGATTAAACTTTCCAATATAAGGAGTCATTGCCAGCATCACCTTATATGGGCTTCTGACGACTCTTGGTTCACCAACTACACATAACTCTGCAAAAAAGAATATGCTCAATAGCAACAGTAAAAATGACCAACCTAGTCCAGTCCACCATTCTACTAATTTCTACTGAAAATTCACTGTCTTCATTAGATCAATCAACCCAGAAATACATTTGGGAGAGTGAAACTTTGACTAGTACTAACTAACGACTTCATACAGGATGTTTTACTTCACAAATTTGCAGATGTTTAGTAGCATCAATTAAATATCCATGTCCTCTTTCTTTTCCTTTTGTTTCTTCTTTTTGTCTGAAGGTGCCTTTGACTCTTCTATTTCTACTCTCATTCTTTCTTAATACAATCTTCTTTCATTAAGCACAACTTAAAATATCCAGATACCGAGGAAACTTTAGAGTTACCTTCCAATAAAGAAGCTAGAGCAAATGCAAGTGGCAGATTTTCCTCCTGTTCCACACCTGCTGATGATTTAGATTCCTCTATAGCGTTTTGAAGAAAAGGTCGAAATTCTGAACAACTAGCCAAAGCCTGTGGAAGATTTCAAATTGGTTTTCCAGTCCATTCGGCTAAATAGAAACTTGTACAGGAAACAAAAATCAAAATCTCGATTCTTGAAAAAATTGACAAGCTAATACTAATTTAATTTACTCGCTCAACGAAACGAAACAGAAAAACGGAAACATAACTTTAAGCAAAATCTAAGTATCCGATTGATAGAAGTTACTATACCTGCAATATGACATTTAGAAAGCAATTATTGCCAAGATTTTGCAGGCCGGGCAAGAAGAATAAATTCTCTGGACGATCCTCCCTGTCGGTTAACAATTTTAAAGAACTAAAATTCTCCAGTTTACCATCTTTTATGGCGAAAAGAAAACCAGCAACTCCCAGTAAACCAGCAACAGACAAGTGAAACCCCGAACTTGAAACCAATTTAAGATGAGACAAAGCTCGGTATCCATTTTTGAGATTGCGGATTAGAAATTTTACACTTGTATCTCCTTCGATTCTCATTCTTTTACAATGAACCAACTCTACTTGGTTTCTGGATGCCGATGGCTCGGAAGTTGGAAACTATGGACGTATGTCTCCGTTCTCCCGTCTGAGTTTTACATATCGGGCTACGCAGGATTGGTTCCGGCCCAATGAAGCTCAACAGATCCGATCCGGCTCAGCAGAGCCTGGATGTTATTTTATTGAGTTCACATTTAGTTTCTAAATTTTAATTTCTTAATCTATAGAGGACGATTTATATGCTGAAAAGAATATGGCTAAAAAGTGTTCTTGTTTTACGAAGAACACAACTTAATAGAATTAAGTTCATATGTATTTCTTTAATGCCATTTGTGATATAGAATATGATAATTAAATATTATATCAAGAACCTTACCTGTACATTTGGCATAAATAACTCAGAATTCTAAACAAATCATTCCTACGAACCCACAACTAACATGTAATTAAGAACTTTGGTGATTTGAATGAATAAACACCATAAAATAACTTGTTAATTCAATTCTTAATGCAACAAGAATAATAAAAACTTTCACTTGTCAAAATTATATCAAAGGCAATGAAATTCATTCAATAATCAAAGTGCATCATATTATATTGAAAATGAGATACTTATACATAAAAACACCTAGATTATACCAAAGATTCGTAGTTAAATAATTTAAAAAAATATGGTATTAAATGACATATGAAAATATGATATTAAATAACTTAGTAAAATATAATATTAAATGATTTAGAAAAATATGGTATTAAATTACCTAAAAAATATGAATATAATTTAAATATCTAGAAAATAACTAAAATGATCCTACACACTCATTCTAAATTATGCCCACATACTTGAACGAAATTAATGATTTTTTTTGCATTTTTAATCCTTCAAATAGTTCACATGTGCTAAATTCTTATTGTATCTATTTTTGTACAAAGTCTTGAAATGTTTGTTTTAGTTTTTTAGCTTAAAATCTTATGATTAGACCAGCTGACATTGTGATCTCTTCTTCATGCTTCTCTTTAATGTCTTTTAAACTCATGCCCACATTATTCATTTATTCTTCAAAAGGATTCATTCTCAAATATACATTCATATCAAATGGAGAAAGATCATAAACGTTAAAAATAACGAACTCAGAATACTCAATAGGGAGATCAATCCAATAAGCATTATCATTGATTTTCTCCAACACTTGAAATGGTCTATCGCCTCTCGAATCCAAATTTGACTTCCTTTGTTTTGGAAATATTTCCTTGTGCATATATACCCAAACTCAATCTTCAAGTTCAAGTACAACTTGTTTTTGCCTTTCATTAGCTTTTTGAACATAAACTTGGTTCTTATTTTTAATTCGTTCACATGTCTTCTCACGGATACCTTTAACCATTTCAACATTTTTTTTTACCATATAGACTAGAAATTTCATTTAAAGATAATGACATTAAATTCAAAATAGTAGATTAAAACCATATACAATTTCAAAATGTAAAAAACCTGTAGAAGAATGAATAGCCCGATTAAATGCAAACTCAATAAATGACAAATAATCTTCTTAAGTTTTCAACTTCTTACCAATAACAACATGCAACAAAGTTTCTGAAGTTCTATTAACAACTTCAGTTTAACCATCAGTTGTGGATGACAAGTAATAGAATATAAAAGTTTAATTCCTAATTACTCTCAACGTTTTCTAAAAATGACTCAAGAATTTAACATCACATTTAGAAACAATAGTCTTAAGTACACTTTGTAACCTTACTACTTCTCTAAAGAACAAATCAGCAATGTTTGTTGTATCATCAATTTTGTGACATGCAATGAAATGTGTCATTTTATTAAACCTGTCAACTACATCCAATATGTTATCTTTACTTCTTATAGTTTTAGGCAAACTTAACACAAAATCTATAGAAATATCAGTCCAAAGTTGAGTAGGAACTAACAATCGTGCCCCATTTAACTTTTCATTGAAGAATGCAATTGGACGTTTATCTTGCATCAAAACAGCTCCAGTACCTATTTCAGAAGCATCACATTCAATTTCAAAAAATTTTAAAAAATTTGGTAAACAAAGAACATATGTAAAACACAATTTATCTTTCAAAATTTTGAATGGATGCTCTTGTTCATCTCCTTATTTGAATTCAACCTCTTTAACTATTGTAGTTAAATAAGCAGTAATAGTTGAGAAATATTTCACAAATCTCTTGTAAAAACTAGCCAACTCATGAAAACTCCTCACATCATACACATTCCTAGGTATTGGTCATTCTTGTATAGCTTTTGCTTTGTCGCTATCAACCTCAACTCCCTTTGCACTAACAACAAATCCTAAAAACACAATTTAATCAAGACAAAAAATACATTTATGTAAGTTAGCAAATAATTGTTCCTTTCTCAAAACTTCTACAACAGTTTTAATATGTATAAGATATCATTCAAAAACTTGTTATAAATAATAATATTATCAAAATAAACCACAACAAACTTTTCAAAAAATTCACATAAGACGTGATTCATTAACCTCATGAATGTACTAGGTGCATTAGTTAAACCAAATGGCATAACCATCCACTCATACAGACCATATTTTGTTTTGAATGCAGTCTTCTATTTATCACCTGATTTCATGCGAATTTGGCGATATCCACTTTTTATATCAATCTTTGTAAAAATGCATGCACCATACAATTCATCTAGCATGTCATCGAATCTAGGAATACGATGGTGATACTTTACAATGATTTTACTAACTACACGACAGTCAACACGCATTCTCCATGATCCATCTTTCTTAAAAACTAACAACACGAGAACTGCACATAGACTCATGCTCTCCCTTATATACCTTTTTGTCAAGAGTGCATCCACTTGCCTTTGGAGTTTTTTTTTTCATCTAGATTACTCCTATAAATTGGTCTATTAGGAATTGTAGAACTAGGAATTAAATCAATTTGATGCTCAATACCCGTTAGAGATGGTAATCTATTTGGTATATTACCAGGAAATACATGTTCAAACTCCTATAACAAAGAGACAAACATACTAGACAGATTAGGATTAAGGTTAGTTTTAGAGAAATAAACATCTAAGACTAAATACTATCAAAGCTCTCTTGCTTGCATAAGCACTCTTTAATTATATTTCATTCGAATACAAACTCAATTTGTTTTCACACTTTTCTTATCTCATTATACTTTTCTCTCTTGCACTTCTCTCTTTTTTTTCTCACTAATGCAATCACTCACCAATGAGCTGTTACTTTTTCTCTATTCTTTTATAACCTTTTTTCCTTCATTTCTTTTGCTTTCCTCACTACCCAAATTCCCATTTGAAGCTTATATCATCTTCAGTTGATCCTTATACATTTCTAAAGGAGATAATGGCGCAAGTGTGAAATCTTTGTCATTCAAAGTAAGTGAGTACCTATTTGTATACCCATCATGTATGACTCGTCTGTCAAACTACCAAGGTCGCCCTAACAACAAATGACCAGCTTACATGGATACTATATCACGTAATACTTCATCAATATATCTCCCAATGGAGAATGGAACTACAACCTACTTAATCACCTTCACTTCTCCACAATCATTCAACCATTGCAGCTTATAGTGTATTGAGTGGTTTTCACATTGCAAACTCAATTTCTCCACCAAAGTAGTACTAGCCACATTTACACAACTTCTTCCATCAATAATCACAACACAAAACTTTCAACTTACTAGGCATCTTATATAGAATAGATTTTCCCTTTGCTATAAACTTTTCTCCTTTACTTGTATATTAAAAGCTCGCCTAATAACCAAGATTCTCCATAAGCAGCATATTAAACATCATCATCACAGTCTTCTATAAATGGCATATTATCATAATCAGAATCAGATTTAACATTGTCCCTAATAAACATAACCTTTTTATTTGGACATTATGAAGTAATATGTTCTACACTCAAACATCTGAAACATTTAATATTTCTATATTTATTAGTAGATGTAGATTCAGAAGTACCTTTAATAGATGATGAGGTACCTTTATATTTGCCTTTGTTGAAATCTGTACCATTCTCTTTGAAACCAAAGCTTTTCTCTATGGCCTTTTTCTCTTTCTTAGGCCACTTTGAATTTCAATTGTTATTAAAACCAGAATATGACCTTGTTGTCCCCTTAGTTTGCAATTGTCTTTCTACTTTTATGATCATATTAATCATCTCCTCCGACTAAACATAGTGATGCAATTCAACTATATCGACAATTTCTCTATTTAAGCCACTTAGAAATCATGACATGGTGGCTTTTCAATCCTATTCGATATTTACTTGAATCATGGTTATCTTCATTTCTTTGTGATAATCTTCAACTGACTTGGACCTTTGAGTGAGCTTTTGCAATTTCTGATGGAGCTCTCTATAGTAAAATGATTGAACAAATATTTTTTTCATGATAACTTTCATTTGAGTACAGGTGGTGATAGGTGCCTCTCTATTACGTCTCCTAAAGATGAGTAATTGATCCCACTAAACCAAAGTATAATTAGTAAATTTAACGATTGCCAACTTCACCTTCTTCTCCTCGGAGTACTTATCACATTCAAATATCAACTCAACTTTTCGCCCTCATTGTAGATAAATTTCAGCATCATTTCTACCTTGAAAATAATGAATCTTCATCTTGATAGAATTAATATTGATGTCCCTCCTTTCGGGTCTTCGTTGTACTGTTAACTCTTCACTATCTTCATCTATTTCCTTTTCTATCTCGTTATCATTCATATATTTCTTATTCTCCTATTCTGCCTCATTTGATTAAGACCACCTTGTCGACCTCGAAGGTTATCTATATCACCTTTCATGTTGTCTATGTCCCTATTATACTTCTCAAATTGCCTTTATATTGCTTCTAACATAAAGGCTATGTCATTCAAGGTTATTTCACACTTTTCACTTTCAGAATTTGACATGATCTAAAACCTGCAAAAAAAAATGTTAAAAAAGAAAATTCCTCACAACACTCCCTTATGTGCTTCACTCTTGAACAAATTTGTTATTCTTCTCGTGTTTTCACTTAGGATTTTAGTTTTTATCCTCTTCTACACTCATACTCTCAAACCTTTTACCACTCTATTCCCTTCTTCAAATTGTATTTCAAAATTAAAAAACAACTGAATCAAGATAAACAAGTAGTTATTTATGTGACACTTTAAGG